CGCGGCCCCGCCGGGAGCCTCAGCCCTCCTGCTCGGCCCCCAGCCCCGCAGCCAGCGCGCAGCGGGAGCGTCCCTGCGGTTTGGGGAGCCCGGTGCTGCGAGGTCTCTGCCTGCGGAGGGCATGCCGGGGGTGCATGGCTGGTTCTGCTCTTGGGCATGGGCCCCGGCCTCAGCGAGTGCAGCAGGAGGAGCAAGAAGGATCCCTTGTTTTAAAACACAGCCAGTTGTAATGTTTTTCTTTCTGCCCACACATCTGGGGATTAATTCACCTTACAAGGAAAATTAATTCCGTTTTCCCAGTTGCGTCTCTGGCTGACGAGCTGCCGCTCGGAAGGCTGCGGGCTGGGAGGAGTGTGGAGGGTCATCTGGCAGCGAGTGTTTCCCGCTGCCGCTGTCACTATTCTCAGAGCTCACATCACCACAGGTTCCCCTTCTGTGGGATCGCATCATTTCCCTTTTTAGACATGTTTTCTCCGAGGAGAGCGTTCCCCAAAGCACGCTCAGGTTACAGGAGAGGCAGCCGCACCGAGCCCAGAGCTGGCACACGGGTGCCTGTTTGGAATCACCAAGGGATGTTTTTCCTCTGAGGACTCTGTTTTATGATGGATACCTGCCAGAGGTGGATTAAAACCAAAATTCAATCAGATAAATTCATAAACAAGTCACGCTAGATTCGGAAGCGAGTACCCAGAGGAGGATGCTGATGGCGGGGAGCAGTGCCTGCGGTGTTGTGCTTCCATGCGCGTGGCGGGGGCGTGTGGGGGTCAGAGCCTTTCTGTTGGTGAGGGGGAGCGGGGCGCACCCGAAGACCCCGAGCGCCAGCTCTGCCTGTGGGCAGGGAAGCCCTGGGGGGGGCTGCGTGGGGGCACCCTTTCACGTGCTGCCTCTGGGGCAGAGCTTGTGCTGGCCAAGGCGCACGGCGAGCTCGTGAAATCTGGGACTTGAGCGCGCGGGGTTTGGTCCTGCAGAGGCTTGCATTCTCTTTACGTAGCTATTTAGAGAAGTGATACGCTGCTGAGCCACCCTCCTCTGCGCGAGAGGGAGTTGTGAGAGTGTTACTCGCACAAAACACCCAGGGCACAGTCTGCAGTAAAAAACATTTTTATCAATTAGGAAAAGCCAGCAAAAAACCCTCTGAAATCAGTACAGTTTTGAAAGAAGGCCGAGTGGGTTTGCTTTGAACTTGTATGGAAAGGAAGATGATGGCCAAGTTGGAACCCCCTGCAAACAAGCGCTGAGGCTCCGAGGAGAGTCTCTCCCGTCCCGTCTTCCGGAGAACCAGCTCGGCACGGCCGCCCCGGAGCAGGGAACGCTGGCGCTGCGGGGCCGCCCTCCCAGCCGGGGCAGGGCATCGCTTCCCAGCCGTGCTCTCGCCCCAGCCCGTCAGCACCCAGCACCTTTCTGCTGTAACTGCTTTTGTCTGGGTGGGCTCCGCTCCCAGGAGGTGTCCTGGTCCTCCTTGTCCCTTCTCGTCCTTGTCCCAGCCCTGCCTCCCTGCAGGGCCCTTCCCTTGGCTCTGCTCTGGCCGTTGTGACACGTAGATCCACCTTCTTCTACCCTTTAAGCTGTTCAGGTTTTGCTTTTTATTTTGACAGGGATCAGGAGCACATCCAGGTTGACCCATCGACTGCAATTCCACACCACGCTGCTGTCTTACAAAATTAGTATCTATTGGGGAAGGGGGTGGCTTTTCCTCCTCCTTTTTTCCTTTCAGCAAATGCGGTTTAAATAGTGAAATATGTAGGTGAGAAGATAATTTGCTAGTGCTTTCCAGCGTATTGGTCGTTTAATCTGGAGTATCCAAATTTACTATACAAGTACCAAATAAGCACATAATTTTTGAGAACACCAAACCATCTGAACGTACTTTATAGATTACAGCAATGCAGAACCGATTTGGAAGATTTTACATGGTCTGGTTGTTGCCTCTCGGAGAAGGCAGCATGTGTCTACCTGCTCTTTAAGTGAGCTTACTGCTGCCGGTATTGTCATTTGTTATGACACGATTAGAGAGCTTTATAAGGCTTAGCTCGCTCTCCCTTGGAATGAACTGTCCTTGAGAAAAATAACCGCTGTGATGTTAGCGTCTAATCTTGGCATATGATTTGTTCTGCTTAGAATTTTAAATACTTACTTTCAAGAATGATGTACTCTGGCATTAAGTTAGCACACACGTTCTGGGGGACTGTTCCACAACTAAAAGCTCTCGATACATACCTGGGATTTTAAGGGAAGCGGGTAAACAACACAGGTCTGTCAGGCAGTGTGCCTGGCCTCCTGAATTAATCTGAATATTTGTAAGATCAGGTCGGTGGCTTTACTAGCGGTAGGATTGGGTTTGTATGTATTTGGACAGCAGTGCCTGTGGTGGGTGAGCAGCACACAGGTGGGTGGGTGTCCAGCCTGTTCAGCCACTCCTGGAAGGAACCTGGATCTGAGGGTTAGGGCTTTTCCTACAGCTTTCCTCCCACTCCTCTCCTGCCAGAAATGCCTTGAACAAAAGTGTGGCTCTTCCAGTGAACTAGAAGAGAGGCAAGGACAACAGGGAAGTGAGAGAGAGAGGAGTTGCCTAACCATTTTATTTAAAACTCACGTGTTTCAGTTTGAATGCCATCAGTTTCTATTAGAAGTGTTCAGGAGTCAAGAATGACCACAACCAAGCGGCTGTTTCCTGACTGTTTCATATATACCATTTTTTTCCAGAAAGAACCAGCTTAGAAGTTCTCGGAGATTTTCAGATCTTGGGTAATCAGGAAATGTGACCAACTGGTGCCGTTTCTTTAAACATTCCGAAGGTACTGGATAACAACATGCCCATTTTGATAAATTCCCCTCGATGCAGAGGAGGAGACCGGAGGAGTGACCCGCTCGTGGCAGGGCAGGATCTCGGCTCCTCTCTCGCTGTCCCTCCAGCCACACCTCCCAGGTCTGGGGCGAGCAGGGGCAGCGCTCCCATAGCCGAGGTGACACGGCGGTTGTTCCCCGCACTGGGTGGGCAGCTGGAATCCCAGCAGGGCGAGCAGAAGGAACTCAGCCCAGAGTTAGAACAAGTTTAAGGAAACTGCAGGGAATCAGTAACATTGCAGCACTCAGTGGTTTTGCAGACAGGCTAGAGGCGTACAGGTGCCTCTCTTGTTTATGTTTCTTAGCATGCTGAGTTGAAAATTATGATACTAATTACAGGGCTATTAATAAATAACTAAACAACAGCTCTCCAGATCTGAAAGACCAGACAACATACCATGCTTCTGTGCCTCTCTTCACTCAAGCAGAGGAGTGATATATTGCTGCGTGCCTGTGGCAAAAAATAACACCATTTTCAATGTTTGCTTTTAAATAAACAAGAATTGTAAACTTTCTTGGTTGCCGTCACAGTGGTTGAAAAGCCGTTGCTGGTCACGCTGGTGAGCGGCACTATGCAGACCAGAGTCTGGCTGCTGTAAACCACTGGTCAGAGATCTCCTGAGGGGCTGAGAGCCATTCATTGCCTTATCTCAGCTTCTGCGTGACAGCGCGGGGAAAATTCCCTCTGGACATGCTAAAGATTATCTCTATCTGCCTGACTATTTCAGTGTTCTGGTCGTTCTTCTTTGGTTTTTAACTATGATAAAATCAGCTTATCTGTGGATGCGTCTTCTCTCTGCACACAGATACTTTATAATTACACTTATATATGAATTGCTATATATCACCTTTGTGTTACTAACGGAGTAGTTCTTGCTTATGTGTGGAGTGGATCACCAACACAAGACATAGAGCAAAGACAGTCAGCTGACACTGGTTGCATCCTTTTCTTTATCTTCAGAGGAAAAGACTTCAGTTTACATCTAGACTGCAAACAAATAATCTGAGGAAATTATCCAGTCTCTTTGGGAGGCCTGTGTTTGGGTAGAAGACACTGGTTGGTGACCCAGACAGTATTCCTAGACGATGCAGGAGGGCGAGTGGTGACGCGGGCGGTGGGGCTGTGCAGCCCAGCAGTGCTTCGGAGCAGCAGCGACGTCCCAGCTCTGTTCGGGGCACGCTCAGAGTGAGGGGCCCGAGGGAGCGGGCTCTGCTGCGAGCAGGGTCGGAGCTAGCACGCAGCGCACGCCAGAAGACTTGGGAGTTTTGATGCCTTAAACAGGTGCCACCTCCTCCCCTGGTCACTGCCTGCGTCACCCTAGCTGGCAGAGTGGTCTGTGTGGTGAGAGGACGAGGGGTCGCAGTTTTAAACTGAAAAGGGCAGATTTGGCTTAGCTGTAAGGACGAAAATCTCCCCTGTGCGGGGGGTGAGGCCCTGGCACAGGCTGCCCAGAGCAGCTGTGGCTGCCCCCTCCCTGGAAGGGTTCAAGGCCAGGTTGGATGGGGCTTTGGGCAACCTGGGCTGGGGGAAGGTGGCCCTGGGCCCAGGGCAGGGGGTGGCACTGGGTGGGCTTTGAGGTCCCTTCCCACCCAAACTGTCCTGTGATTCTGTGTCACTGCGTGGGGACGAGACCAGGGAAGGGATCTGGCTGCAGAATTACCTGGAAGGCAAGTGGTTATTTTCCAGCTGAGGAATTTGCCCAGTCTGTGCCATGTGTGCCCCAGAAACAGTTCTGCAGGCCCCGAGCCGCGAGCGGTGGGGCCACGGGGATGAGCGAGGGCAGTGGAGGTGCCTGAACTGCCTCTTTTGGCTCTGCTGCAAATACACCCGGAGCCCTTGTCCCCGCATGGAAAAAGACTATAAATAGGGTCATGCTGGAACGACCCTGGACAAATGGGTGTTTCCTGTGAGCAGGTTCACAAATGGCATTGCTCTTGTCCTTCGGGGGGGTGATTTGAGAAGCCTTAGATGGTGGGCAGCTGGTACTTGAAGCAGCAGAGGGGTTAAAAAAGCAGCTAGAGCTCTAGCATGGATGGAAACCAAATAGCAACCAAATTTGGTTTGTTGCAGGCATCGGAGCCAAGGTCCTTGAGGAAATACTGGTGCTCCAAGCTCATGGGCACCCACCTTTAAAAGGAAATTCCATCTACTAAAGTGGTTTTATTTTTATACAAACTTGGTTGCTTTCGTCCCTTTCTGTTTCCTATAGCCTTTGGAAGACAAAAATGACAAACACCGCTTTTGTTTAAGGTTTGTGGAGAGCTGACCCTGATAAAACCACACGTTGTTTTTTTTAAATAGAGGCTTTGAGCCGAGGGAGCTGGTGTTTGCCGCACCGGTGATGAAGTTAGTGCCCGCGTGGCTGGTGCCCCCAGCCCAGCAGCTGCTCTGCGCCACTTCTGATTCCCTGAGCGTCCCCTGCCGCTGCGGGACCGGTGACCAGCCGCGGGTTTTGGGTTGCCCTCTCGTGGCAGGCGCCTGGATCGTGGGGGCCGGCGCGGCTCCGCACACCCCGTGGGTGCAGCTCGGTGCGCGGCTGCGGGTGCCCATGCTCTCCTCCTCCCCGCCGCTCCGGCCGCTCGCCGGAGTGAACGCGTGGAGCGTCGGGGCACAGCCAGAGCGCGGTGGAGCGGCCGTGTCCCTGCGCCGTGGTGCCTGCAGAGATCTCGGAGATTTTCTTCACAAAACAGAAAAAGCCCCGTGGGTGGCTAAGCCAAAACAAAACCGGCTGTGTGCTTGGCTCTTGATCCTGGTGGGGTTTGGGTGCTCCTTGACATCAGAAGTGGCTTCTGAGAAGCCAGGTCCCTGCTGCCAGGTTGCCGAGCCCAGCGTCCCCCCATGCCTGGGGCCGGGCACCCTCCTCCCGGCGCTCCCACAGACCTCAGGAAGTGCCAACCCCTCTCCGAGCCGTGCCCGCCGCACCCCTCACCCAAACTAAGCGCCTTCCCTTGTCCCGGTGTCGCAGGTATGTCGAGAGTACCAGCGTGGCAACTGCAACCGGGGAGAGAACGACTGCCGGTTCGCCCACCCCGCCGACAGCGCCATGATCGACACCAACGACAACACGGTCACTGTCTGCATGGATTACATCAAAGGGAGATGCTCACGGGAAAAGTGCAAATATTTTCACCCTCCCGCACACCTGCAAGCCAAGATCAAGGCTGCCCAGTACCAGGTTAACCAAGCTGCAGCTGCCCAGGCAGCAGCGACTGCAGCTGCCATGGTGAGTGCGGGGAACAACTCCGGAATAGGTGTTGGTTAGGGGCAGTGATTGATGCGGGAGCTGTTCTCGCCGGAGGGGGGGTGTGTGCTCAGGGACCCCGGTCACTACACGGTGCAATGAGCTTTCTCAGCATGTGGTGCCAGATTTGCTCTTAAGGAGTCTCAGACTATTAAGGTGTTTGACTAATTTTGCCTGCTGGTGTACAGAGTAGCTATATGTACATATATGTGTGCCTCCGTGTGTGCGTGTCGGTACGTGTGTGTGCATATATGTATATATAGTTTATTGTGTGTTCGTGTGTGGGTAGACGTGTATCTATCTAGTTGCACAGATAGATAAACCCGTATTTCAGTTCCCATTAAGTCCGTGTTTGTAGAGACTTAGTCTGAAGTCGATCTGACTGTGTTCATGCTACTCGTAGCCCAGCTCCCCGTCCCCGCCCGAGGGCAGGCGCTCGAGCAAACCTCGCAGCGGTTTTGATCTGGAACTCCTCAGGGACTGGTTTCCGAGGCAGGAGGGGGCTGTGGTGGCAGCCCGACCTCCCCCCGCAGAGCCCCGCGGGGCGGGGAGGCGGCGGGGCG